ATATACATATGTATATATATGTATGTATATATCAAATATATGTATATATTAAATATATGTATATACATATATGCATACATATGTGTGTGTTCCTCTCTTCATCAGCATTCAAAATCGACTGGCTGAAGCGGAGTGCAAGATGATTATGCAATGCGCGACGCCTCGTCAGGAGCAGGAAGCGGAAAGGGAGCAACCGTCACAACAGACTCCATCCGCCCCGCCATACCCACTAACCCTTCCCTTCGATCTCCTATCCCCTATCCATTACTGATTCTTCCCATTTGATACCCTGTCCCTTATTAAGAATGTGCCATGCCTCTTCCGTATTAAGAAAAAAGAAAGAAAGAAAAAAAAAACGTGCACAATATGCCCTCTGAGTATGTACCATGACCGATGCCTCTGTTCACTCCCCATCCTCTCTTGCCTGGCACTCCCTCTCCCCCTACTGACACTTCTCTTCCCCCACCTTTTTCTGCCTATTACTACCCCCCCCCCCCCACCCTTTCTGCTTGTTACTGCCCCCCCTCCACCCTCTCGGCCTGATACTACTGCCCTCCTTCACTCTCTCCCCCTCCTGACGTGCCCCACACCAGCCAGGAGACCCCTCTGCCTTACCGATACGCCAGCTTCCCTTGGCCTATATACTTGTTATATGCAAAAGGGAATATTCTGACCTAGGAGAGTATATTCTAGCCTAGCCCCTTTTATACCCGGGGGTAAACTGGCCTGGCCCAACTTATACTCCGGGGTATAGAACAGCCAAGCCTGAAATAATCCCGGCTTTGTTTTGGGTATAGACAGAGCTGTTACACCTATACATTGTCTCTCTTCCGTCATTTTGAAGAAATTGGCATTGTTCTTATGTAGAGAAATATTGTTATCTAAAGATAACAATAATAGTAATTACAAGTAATTTCATCAGCGCTCAAAATTTCCATGGTTATGAAAGCGATACCGCTGTAGAAGATGCAGTATTATCTTACCCTCCTTACTAGAGTATTCTATTGACATTGCAATGTCTCTCTCTTCTCTCCCCTTCTCTTGTGTATATATATATACACACACACATATATATATATATATATATATATATATATATATATATATATATATATATATATGTATATATATACATATATATATATATATGTATGTATGTATATATATGTATACACATATCTATATATGCATATGTATATCTACACATATATGTATACACATATCTATATATGCATATGTATATCTACATATATATGTATACACATATCTATATATCCATATGTATATCTACATATATATGTATATGTGTATGTATGTATGTTAATGTATATACGCACACGCACGCACACACACACACACACACACACACACACACACACACACACACACACACATATATATATATATATATATATATATATATATATATATATATATATCTGTGCGCATATATATATTCATATATATACATATATGTGTGTATGTGTATGTGTGTGTGTATGTATATGTATATATATATATGTATATATATATATATATATATATATATATATATATATATATATATATATATATGTATATAAAAAATATATATAAATGTATACATAAATATATATGCGTTTGTATGCGTGTGTGTGTGCATAGATCTGTGTGTGTGTATATATATATATATATATATATATCTGTACGTATGTATGCATATATGTATATATATTCAAATGTATATATATGAATATATATATATATATATATATATATATATATATATATATATATATATATATATATATATATATATATTACGTATATATATATATAAATATATATATATATATATATATATATATATATATATATATATATATATATATATATATATTACGTATATATATATATATATATATATACATACATTTTTTCTTATTTATATATGTATGTACATTTGCATATATATAAATGTGTATATTAATATATATATATATATATATATATATATATATATATATATATATATATATATATATATATGTGTGTGTGTGTGTGTGTGTGTGTGTGTGTGTGTGTGTGTGTGTGTGTGTGTGTGTGTGTGTGTGTGTGTGTGTGTGTGTGTACATATATATATAGATAGATAGATAGATAGATAGATAAATAGGCAGATAGAAATATGTATGTTTGTATATATATATGTATAGATATATACATTCACATCTATGTATGTGTGTGTGCCTGCTTCCCTCCCTCTCTTCTCTATCTTATTCTCCCCCCTTCTCTCTCTCTCTCTCTGCTTACTTACTCACAGAAGATTTGTAATATCATTTATCTGTATTTACTTCATATATGAATTTTCTGATATCCATAAAGGATGATGAATAGATATTTTATAATCTTGATTTATTCGTTCATATTTACAAAAATCATACTTCTAACAAATTTTTTTTAACAATTAACAACGGTGCTGAGAACGCATGAATACTGACACACACACACACTATTTCGCAGAATCCTCTTATTTGAATAGCGGAATATGAAAAGAGCGAAATTTACTTGGCAGGTTGGCCGTAGGACTGAGAAGGCAGCGGAAGGCCAGGGCTTGGACCCGGACCGGATGGTGGGTATCCTTGCCCTTGCCCTGATCCTGCCACGGACCCTCTCTGGCCCTGCCCACCGCCCTGACCTCTCCCGAACTGACCCGAGCCTCCTCCTTGACCTTGGCCATACTGGCCCTGACCTCCGGCCGTGATCTGGCCCTCGAAGGACACGGTGGGGTGAAAGCCGTTGCTGTCCACGTAATACTCGACCACCAGGCGGCGTCCGTCGGGAAGCTGCACGTAGTACCTGTGAACAAAATGGGATGTGAAGACGATCCAGAGAACCGTCTTAACGATGCTTTGTCGGCTTTGTTGTATCTTATATGGCAGTAGCTGAAAAAATATACAGTCCTTTCTCCATGCAACTGCGCTTCATCAGCTGACTTACTTTCCCTGAGTGTCGTCATTCTCCCTCTGCTCGCCGTGGCCGAAGAAGTTCCCTGAAGGCGCGTCATTCACATCCCACTGGAAGGCGTACTGGGCGGGCACGGAAGGGTATTGCTGCCCGGACCCAGAAGAGAACTGTCCGGAACCTGAACCGGACCCGGCCAGAGGCAGTCCTTGAACCCCGGGCGTCGGGTAGTTGTAGCCCTCCTGAGGCGCCGCCCGAGCCAGCGCCGCCAGCGAGAAGACTACGACCGCTATCTGAAATGATGTAAAAGGTGCATCACATCACATAAACCACAATGTCCTCTTTTGTTAAGTAACTGATGTTTATAATTCAAGGTATTACATATTATCATTTTCTGACCTGCTTCTTCGTATAAAATGCTGTCTTTTAAATTATCCCAGATCCAAATAATCAACTTTTCAACTCAAATAAATGAATAACTCACATTAAAATTCCTAAAATCATAAAAATGAATAAATACCTTTACGCTCAATCTGTTCATAATGCGAAAGGGATGCTGTCTGTACTCCCGCCTCGCCTTCTATATATATATACGGGCCGGTTTGCGAGGGCGCGGTCGGTTTCTCCGTTACATATGTTATTTTATTGTTTTTTTTTTCGCATTCTTGTCGCATTTACCTCTGTTGCTTCTGCTTTATGCATCCTGATAAATGCCTTCTCTTAGTTTTTGTAATCCAAAAAATTATAAAAGGCTTCAAATTTACTGATAAATAAACTTACTGATCTTAAAACGCTGGTACCTACTCCGAAATTCTATTCTTGATTAACCAGTTATATCTGACGTTGTCCTTGCTTCTTTATAAAACAAATAATAAAAACAAAACAAAATAGTGACATATTTATTCTCCTTTTAATATCTTTAGACATTTTTTAAGTATTTGTTTTCGGTTTAGTTTCTGAATTAGTTTAATGGTTATGATAAACCATTTACTTATATTTTCCACACCGAATGAACATATGTGGATACTAGAAGAAAAAGGTAATCTGGAAAATTTGGATGATATTTAAGTCTATTTTTATTTTCTTTCTTTCTTTTGTTTATTCATTTTGTGTGTGTCTCTGACCTGAATCTTGAATTCTATTAGATTACGCAACCCTCATTTTTTCTTGATGACTGAAGGACTATGAAGACAAATCCTAAATCAATCGTGTACGTGTGTGTGTGTGTGTGTGTGTGTGTGTGTGTGTGTGTGTGTGTGTTTGCATATAAACACAAGGATCGACAGATAGATATTCTTTATATAAAGTGAAGTTTCCTAAATGACCTTTCACTTATCAGAAAGTCAGTTAAATACCTCCTAATGGGCTGTTCTTCTGATTTACAGCAGTCAAATTATCATGAGATTCATTTTCAATGTTTTTTTTTCGGATACGTAATTTCCCAATATAACAATGAGGCACGTTCATTACTGATCTCCTATACCCCGTACTGTTATCTAATAAACGGCGCATCTCCGACGTGTATTCCGGGGTTGAGAATAAGAATTAACAGGTTATAGATGGAAAAAAGTCGAGTGATACTAAAGAAATGAGCGCAGATAATTTGGGAAAGAGGAATTTGGGGATATCTTTCGACTAAATGTAAAGATTGGGAAAGCAGGGAGCGACTCTTAGCATTAGGGAACTATAGACTATCAACCTTATATCTCAGGGATTTACATGTTTCTTTGGGATTTCATTATGTCTGTAAGTATATATCTAAATGGGGTAATCAGAAGGGGGAAAATCTAGATATAGGAATTTGGGGTAGCTATTCTTCAGGCTAAGGACCATAGTGGCCAGACATCATCAGTCAATATACAAGAACCGCCGGACATCCAAGACAACGCAGTATCTGTTATTCTTTGAAGTAATTAATACTCCATTGCCATTTCTTCCCGGCACCCAGCGCATTGTAATTCTCGACTACAGTTTGAAACAAGAATGGTACAAGGTTCACCCCACTCCGGAAATAGAAACAGCATCATCAATAAAAACAAATATCTCAGGTTAGATACCGT